CCGTCGTTGATATTGTTTCTTTTGGAGTATAAGTAACTGGTTCGATTTCATGTTCTTTAATTAACTCTGAGCGAAAAGGCTTATATCTATTAATTTCTTTGTTACCAAATAAAAAGATGGGAAAATCCTCTTTAATTGAAGCGGAAATGACAGTCGTAAGAAGGTCTGGATGGACGATCAGAATGGATGAATTGGAATCTGCTAGCTGATATGATAGTTGACCTGGTGTACATTTTGAGCTAACCAATGTTACTTTGCCTCCTAAAAATGCATTTTTTTTAAAGAAAAAAGACAAATAAATAAATTTCGATTATTAGCTAATAGAATAATTTGAAGTGGAGGTTGGAACCGGTTTTAAAAATTCGAGTTTATCACATGAAAATCGAGTTTATCACGCCAAAATTCGAGTTTATCTCATCAATCATTAATGATATGTAATAAACTCGAATTTTAAAACTGGTTCCAACCTCTAATTTGAAGTCTAAAATCTTAATTCCAAAATTTTTTGGTGACGTGAAAACTTGTAACTGTACTTAGTGATTTACTATAATAAGTTACAGGTTTCGTTTGCAAAACTCATTTGTATTATTATTTGTCATATTTATGAAATCCTTTATTAGCCATTAATTTGTTTTTTACAGAAGTTGCTCTTGAAAAGTTTAGCATTGAATGCTACAGAGTGAAAATCTTTTAAGCGATTATAGTAAATTATTAAGTACAGTTACGGGGTTTCACTTTGCAATATTCATGTCGAAAGAAGAATATAAAATGTAGTAATCACATGATCAGCTTTTTTATAATAAATTTTCTGGTAGTAACATGAGTATCATGTGATCACAAATATTCCAAGTAAGGGCGTTCAGGATTATGCGATGCAAGGTAAATTATGCTTTCGTATAATCTTGGACACCCTAATTCCAAGTTTAGATTTTTTTTTGAAAAAAGCCTTTACTTTTTTATGGATTATATTATTTTTTCCTACGCACCTGCAGCAATTGTTCCCATAAGTACAACAGGATAATCAACCTTTAACAAACAATGACGATGTACAGGTTATTGAAAATGTCATACTGTATTAGAATATAAATGAATGGATAATTACCTGATTGGGTGAAAAGATAGCCAAAACGTCTCCACGTTTAAATCCAACCTTATCCAATAGCCCTGCGGCGAATTTTTTTGATTCACTTTTAAACTTGCCAAATGTATAATATTCATTAGTAATTCCATCGA